TCAGATCTTGAAAACCTCCAAAGACGGAAGTACTCCACAGCTTCTCTGGGCATCCTATTCCATTGCTTAGTTATCCTCATAGCTCAATGTTATTCACAAACTTGATCAATGTGCACGCCATTTCCTCCTACAGGTCATTGGTTAAGATATTAAGATATTAAATAGGACAGGTCTCAGGATAAACCCCTGAAGAGCTGCAGTTATATCCAGCCTACAGGTAGAGTACAAACCACACTTTTCAATCCCAGAATCGAGGCATGTTTTGCTCATCCGGTAGTGCATCCATCTAGACCACAATGGCCAAACTTGGATATAAGGGTGCTGTGAAAGACCATCCTGAAGATGGTTGCAACATTTGCCCTTTTCCATTCATCTAGGACTTCCCCTAATCTCCATGACCATGATGATAGAAAACAGCCTTGATGTGCCACCAGCCAGGTGTCTCAGCCCTCTCAGATGCATTCCATCTGCTCTCATGGACTTGTATAAGTCAAGATTTCTCAAGAGATTTATGAGATCAATCTTTTTCTACTGTTGGTATTTCCTCTTCTCCTTGAACCTTGTCTGTATTTGTAAAAGCCTGGTAGACCTTGTTGGTGAAGACTAGGGCAAAGAATGCATTGAGTAACTCAGCCTTATGTGTGCCCACTGTGCTGTTGCCTCAGTCAGCTGCGAGCCTGCATTTTCCTTGTTTACTCTTACCATGTAGCGGTAGAAGTTCCTGTTGCCATGTTTCTTGACAATCTCTACTATAGTTGAGCTTCAGCTCTTCCTAACGTCATCCTTGCTTGTCTGGACAATGTTTCTGCGTTTCTCCTTTGTAGCATTTCTCCTTGCTTCCATCTCTTTTGTACATTCTTTTTACAGTCATGAATTCCCTATTTAGCCAAACCAGATTCCTTCTTCATCTACTTATTTTCCTTAGTATTGTGATGGACCATGATTTTGTCTGTGGGAGGTTGTCTTTAAAGACCAGGTCTGTTGAACTCACTTGCTCTTCAGAGCTGCCTCTCATAAGATCCCATCTGTCAGGTCCCTGAATAAACTGAATTCTGCTCTCATGAAATCCAGGGTTTGTACTCTGTTACTTGCCTTCCTCATTCCTCTCAGGATCCTGAACAACAGTGGATCATGGTTGCTACGGCCAAAGCTGCCACAGATTACCACCTCCCCAGTCAGCTCTCCCTTGTTTGTAGCAGATCAATCAACCACTCTAGTTGATCATCTGATATTTGTGTTAAGAGCTTGTCCCTAGCATCCCCTACAAGTCAGCTGTATTGCTTGCATCTCACTTTGCTTGCCTTTTAGCAGATACTTGGAGATGAGAGTCTCCCATAGGAATCAGGATGTTATATGCAGATGTCCTCAAGTTGCACAGAAAGACTTTTTCCACTTCTTCCTTCTGATTAGGTGATTTGTAACAGACTCCCACCAAGATGTCATTCTTTGTGGCTTCTCTGTCACCCGCCAGCTCTCAGTCTGCTGCCCATTTTATAGAAGACCTTCGTATTTTTGAGCTCCTTCAGGTATTCACATTCTCATGAAAACAGACTCCCAGGTAGGGGAGAGAGGCCCAGAACAGTGCTGCCACCAAGCAGTCTGCAGCGTAGACTTGAGGGTTACCTATTCTATGTGGCCAGCACACCCTCTGGCAGGCCATTCAGTTCACACAGCTTGGAATCAGACACAGCATCATGCAGCTGAGGGCTATGAAAAGGGGATGGAGTGCAATGGAGGAGAGTTCAGGAAAAATATTAGTAGACACACTGCTCATTTTCAAATTGGACATAATGGACAGAAAGAGTGGAATTAAAGTAGTAAAGCAAGTGTTCAGGGCACCGTTTTGTCCAAAATAATACAAGAAACTGATCAGAAGGCGTGTTCCTTTCCATTTGACTAAAAATGGAAAGGTTTTTTTAATGTTGCTTTTATAATACTCTATAAACAAGCTATTTGAGAGTGAGTTTTTCAGACAAGGAACTTGAAGTGAAGGGAGAAATCTGTTCATAACTTACCCTCTTGTGCCCAGGTATTTCAACATCTGGAATGTAATGCTGCCTGTTGTAATACCTCTGCAATACTGTAACACAGCAGGATGCATTAATGAGAGTTTCAACCTTAAACCCACAACATCAATGAAATTTATAGTTGTCAGGCCGTTAACCACAAAAACTATGTTTGAATAATGTTTCAATTCCCATTTTACGTTCATGTAGGAAGAGAAGTCATTGTGTTGACTAGCCATGAAGACAGAGTCCTCTTTAGACTTGAAATTTGTATAAAACAATTAAGTATTGGTTATTACTCTTGACAGCATTCATAGTATGCACTACAGGGTGGGCAGAAGGTATTTGTATAAAAAAATTGTGCTAGAACCTCTCTCTTAATATTTCAGCTGGTTTAATATTCTTGAATACTAAAAGTGCCTTGCTCACGTTTTGGAAAATACCACAAAAATGTTCAAAGCAGAAAAGAAAAATTTACATAAATTCTAGTATTATCTTCTACGGTCATATAGGTGCTATCTGATATTCTTCCTGATGGGTAAATTTGTCTTCAGACGTTTCACGTTTCCCTACTCTTGTATCTCAGTGCGGCCTTTTGACTTAATATGTAGAGCAAGTTAGTTAAAGGGCACAAAAAAGAACAGAGAACTTCTTGAAGGCAAAAATTTCAGGGGAAAAATGTGGTGAGCACTGTGATTAAGTCGCTCTGCAGAAAAATGAAATTGTTAAATCTGCAACTGATTAAGTTGAAAGAAAAGAAGGGAAGTCAATATGTAAAAAAGTGCACGTACAGTTACTCTTTCTGGTAAGGAAAATCCAAGTTGTTTCTCCCAGAAAAAAACTAACAAGCACATACAATTTACAAAGCTCTGAAGTCTGGGGGGGTGATTGTGTGGGGTTTTTTATTATCATAGGCTTCATGGTAATTCCAGCACAATCTCAGGAAGTAGTAAAAATAAATCTATCTGTCTCTTGCTGTATCAGTCTGGGTATTTACAACTTCCCCATGTTGTGTCCGTTAAAGAATTTCTTCATGGCCCTTAAAAGTACAAACTCGATCTCTGCATTTAATACGTTGTTACCTGCTGCCAAGCCTCTAATAGCTACATTCATACGTTCTCTTAATCATATCTCTTTGTTCTAGAAGCCTGTGTTTTGGATTCACGATTAACTTTTTTTCCCTGCTCTGATTATTTCCTCCCATCATGGCAGCACATCTTTTTTTTTTTTCCTGTTTAAAAACAAATATGTAAATGGAGAAGTAACAGAAATCAGTGTATTTTGACAAAGCCTGTAATCTCTTCCTAACTGTGCTTCCAAATCTAAATTAGATTTTCATGTTGCGAAACCATGAACTTGGTATTGTAAATGAAGTCACGCTGTTCCCAGAAGACAGGGCTGAAGCCTCATGGGCCCAAAGAGGTTTTTCCCATAGGTACCAGCATAAGAAGAGGTGTATTTTTACACCTTCTTACGCTGGTACCTAGGGGGAAATCCTAAAGGTTGGTGATAGGTGATTCTGGTCTCAGTGTGTAATCCATAAGGGCCAAAGGAAAGAATTATCGAGCTGTATTTCACATGAACTGGAAGGGGTCTGGCAAAGAGTTCTTCTGGCTGTTGCTCTTTGACAGCATCCCACTGATTGAGGAGTAATGTGGAAAAACATTGTGGAGCCTGTTACAGCTTCAGTCAGTTTGGGTTCAAGTATTTCTAACTAGCGAAGGCATTTGTGGCCGAAACTTTGCTTGGGCCCTCCAATAACCTCCCATTTTGATCATCATGAAAGCAAGTCAGCCATATGAAAGCTATTCTGAAACCTTGGGGATCCTACTTGCATTTTGCTACCGATACAGCCCCAAGAGTTAGTGACGCCTTGCTTTTCAGCCTGCGAAGCACGAGGGATGGATAGTTCCTCAGCTTGTCGCCTGCCTAAAGACGTGTGTCTGTGAGCGGTGAGGGGGACACTTCTGCTTGCAACTGGTATCTGCTGCCCAGTGATACTTGCTTGATAGCAGAACTGAAAACACCTTTCATAAGTATGTGAAATCCAGAGGAAATAGTTTGGAACGGTACTCTTTTCTGAGTTGGACTCCAAGACAAGATCGCTTTTATATGAATGAAGAACGTGATATTTGTGCCCATATTAGAAGTAGGTTTGTAGGCTATCAATCACTTTCTGGGTTTACCTTGCTGGCAATATCTTGAATATCAGTTTTATCTGTTAAATAGCTCTTCCTGAAAATGTGAAATGGAGGAGGATCGTGGTACTGTTCAGATCTGTTTTAAAGTGGCTTGAACGAAGTTCTCACAGTAGGGTTTTTTTCTTCCTCTTTTCAAGTCTAGCATTGACTCATTTGGTGGTGTTAAAGTGCACTTTCTACTTATCCCCAGAGGAAAGTTAGTATTCTTTTAAGTGAAACTATTTTAAAAGCAGAACACAAGCCTAAAATAAGCCAGTGTTCTCTAGAGTTCTCAGAAGGTGTAGATTTATTTACTGTAGTTAAATCATAATTAGTTCTCAGGGGATAGTGTATCTTTTAAACTGCTTTATTGCCACCATATTGGTTTTCTAAATAATCAGAAACTGCTGCTCTTATATTCTGTAGTATGAACAAAAATTTGCTGTAAGTAGAAACAAATGTCTAGAATTGCTAGTTGTCACTTACTGAAGATAGTGACACACAGAAAATAAGCACTTCAAGCAAATGTGAAGAAATACAAAACGTATGTTGTCAGAAAGCACCTTAAATGCACTATGGCTATAACTTTTTCCAGCGTAATAGATATAGTAATGTTTTACATGATCATTTTTCAGTGAATCTTTTTCTAATATTCTAATGCTTTTTGGTCAAGAATAAATGTTAACTGAAAACAGATAAATGGTAGTGCAATGTTAACGTAAAATATTACCTGATATTTAAGCCTAGATTTTCATGAATGTAGCTTAGTGTTCCAGCTGATAAGTATGGGTTTTTCTTTTTTCCTAATTGGCAGGTTAATGTTCGAGTTGCCTGAGGAGATGGGTTTAATAGCAATTGCTGTTCGACAAACACAAGGGAAAGGTGAGTAAATTTCCCTCTAGGGCTAATAAATGTGTATTAAACATATGAAATAGGACATTTTAATGTCACCTAGCTGCCTTAAAGATACATTATGAGTATTTTTTTATTATATAATCTATAGAATAATCGTGTCCTCTTTTTCTCCTGCTTGAACTGTGCATTCAAACTCAAAACCTAAGCTGATAGAGACCAAAGTAAACATTTTCAGGATGTTTGGTGGCTTTTTGCAGAAATGATTTAGTGGTCTTCTAGTTTCTGCCAGAAAGTCACTCCAGTCAAGGAAACTGCCATCACTACATTTAGTGTAATACAAGTCAGACTTCCAAATCAGAAGTCTTTTTTGACTTAACTGGAACAAGACTGGGTCTTGACTTGCTCTGAGATAGAGGTTTCTTGAGTCTGCAGGACCTCCTTGAACTGTGATGTGGGCTTTCACAATCTTTTGCATATAAATACGAGCAAGTTCTGTCTCTTTCCCAGGAAGGAGCTGGCACTGATTTCAAAGCCACGTTCATTTTATTAGAAGAACACAGTGCCCAGTGTAATAAGCTTTTCTGAGCACAGACCTTCCTGAAGATGGTTACCTGGTTTTCGGTACAGATCTAGCTTGTGTCAAGTTGATTCCCAATGTGGATGGACGTCTAGATGCACACGGGGGATCTTCATAAATACTTCTTCACTTAAACAAAGCAAGATTTTTTGAAATGTGTATGTTACCAGATGCTGGGAAAATCCTGGATGCAAGTCGTTTAGGACATTCTAGGAAATTGAGTAGCAGCATGCACATTAAACAACTTCCTGGTTTTTTAAAGAAACAACTGTGCACTTTAACCATTTTTCTTTCAAAATTAGTTTGGAAACTCCATTACAGGACTTATGATAGATTCTTGGATGGATACTATTGAATCTTTCTCTTTTGTAGTTGTCTACATTAACAAAGTGATCTTTTTCATAAATATTTTTTTCTTGAGTTGAAGTTAACCTTTTTTCTCTCCCTCCCCAGGTCGTGGTAGTAATATTTGGCTCAGTCCCGTGGGCTGTGCACTCTCCACTTTGCATATGGCCATTCCTCTACATTCTAACCTGGGGCAGAGAATTCCTTTTGTTCAACACCTGGTATCCTTGGCAGTGGTAGAGTCAGTTAGATCAATACCAGGATATGAGGTATCTCATTCTAATTTATTTCAAAATTCATGTTTCCATTTTCATTAAATTCAGATTTTAACTATGTCTGCCATGCGTAGAATGACTGAATGCATAATATAGTTCTTCAGCACTAATACAGTGGTAAACTTAGCCTTTCATACATGCTTGATTATTTATGTGGTTTAAGAAATCTAGTATACGTATGATGAATACTGTCTTTTATTGAGATGATTAAGTATACTGCACTCATTTCGCTCATAATCTTATGAAACTTAAGACTCAGTCTTCAGCAGTAAGGCAAACGTCAATTTTGTTTGTCTAACAATTGAGTTAATTTGTTTTGATTTTGAAGGAGTTGGGGAAGAGGGAGGAGGGAAAAATGCATAAAACTGACAAATCCTTTTCTGCTTTTTTTGTTGGTGCTGTTTCAGTGGCCACTTTATCCCTTTTAAAGGATTTTTCCAACCCTTGTTTAAGGTTGAAAACTGATTTCTAAAGCAAGAACTTAGGAGTATTGCTCTCAAGAGGGAATCAAGTGTCCTGTCATCAGTATTAAAATGAAGAACCAGTCTTCTTCATCACCTCATATATCTGCTTTTTAATGTTACCATTTCCTAATATTTGCTAACTATAAAACTTTGGTATTTTACAGAAGTAGTTAACTAAAGCATATGTTTCCTATATTACAGAAAATCAATGACTTATACACATTTACACATGAACTTTATTATAGTGGCACCCAGTAGCTTTGCTGTAGTTTAGGGTCTGTCAGCCTTTCTATTAAAACCTTCTAACTTCAGTGCTTCATAACTTGACTATAAAAACAAAATGCTTCAGGCTAAAATTTGCAATATAAAATATTTGGTAGAGTGAATAATTTAACCATTTAAAATAGAAGGGACAAGAGTTAGTTTTATAAAATATGAGTCTGACTGGGGAAGGAGTTAATTTATGAATGGAGGTCGTTTTGCTTCTGTACGCCTACCCTGGTATACTGTGGCAATTTTTATTTTGTTCCATTCAAGAGGAAAAAGGTGACTGAAGTACTAAATGTTAATATAAAAATGGTATGCATCAATAATACATGTACTGTATGTAGCACACGTACAATACATAGCTCACTATGACCAAGACAAAGCTACTCAATCTCTTTGATAGTACATCCACCTTAGACAATGGGTGAAATCAGTGTTAAGGATCTGGACTCAAATAAGTTAAAGCAAGGAAATTCAAAGATTTATCAGAAGCTCAATGCTTATATTTCCCCTTTAGACTTAGGTAACACAGGACTTTATGTCAGATAAACATCCACGTCATGCAAACTGCTTTAGCTGCAAACAATGGGCTAATCTATAGGAAAGGTTTAATTCTCTCCTCCAAATTTCCATACCTCTGTGGGGGTATGTCAGAATCTTAATAATACTTCAACACACTGTAGTGTTGTTCACTAAGCTCAAAGTCCCTTTCAGGATTTCCATTCAAAAAATCTGAAGTACCTGTGTCTCAGTTTATCAGCCAGTCATCATTTTTAGGATTGCCACAAATGTTGACTAAACAGGCAGCAGCCGAGACCTTTGTTCTGGGTCCTCACGGAGAAAATCTGAGCGCTCAGTTGGAAGTTTTACTGTCAGATGTTAGTGCCGCAAATGCAAATGGGCCTTATATCAAGAGAATGCTTTGCTTTCCCATTCTGAGAACAGAAGACCTCTCTCTAGTAAGTGAAGATAAGAATGTGCTCCATTTCCAGCATATTTTGTGACACCCATCATTTCTTTGACACACAGATAGCTGTGCAGTACCTTGTAACTCTATTTTGCAGCAAAGTGTCTGCTGTGTAGTTTATGTCATGAGAATACCCAGTTGACTTGGTTGTTCTTCATGCTTGCTGTCGCTTCAGTTCCAGAGCTAGTGTATTACAGGTGTGTGTTTTCCTTAAGTAAGATCAACTGAATAGCTCTTTGGAAGATCTCTTAATAATACTGTTTAACTGTGTCATACTTCGCATGTCTCAGGAGTCTTCTATAAGTCTTTTCCCAGTGCGAAGAGTCACATTGTTTTCCATAATGAATATGAATTGGTGATACTCTCTCTTAGAATGCTTTGATAGCAAAATCAGGTAGTATTTCCTGTCAATGTATGTGTAATGGACTCCTCTCTGGCCTTTAAATCTGTCAGGAAAGTAGACATGGACCCAGGTGCAGTTTTCACACATCCTGTAAAGGGATTTCATAATCTACAATAGGAGGGAATGCGACTCTTGTAGTCCTGGAGCGCCTCCCATAATTTGCCTCTGGGGATACAGTCATATGCAGTTTTTCAAACTACAGGAAGCACATTTGCTTTCTTTTTGTGTTTAAGTAGCCGGTGCAAAGTTCAGTTCAGTTCTGTGGTTTCAACAAAAAGTTCTCTATTGCACTGGAACGGTGTCACACAGCACAGTTTGTGTTTCCAGCTCCACGGTGTTGCTTGAGCGTAGCTGCCGAAAGCATGAATATATTTAGGACATTACTGAAGTATTTACATAGTTGTGAACTGGAATTTCTCCTGTCTGCTAAATTTCCTTTCTGAAATTCAAGATGTCATTGTCCCCTTGTCTGGTTTCTGCAAGGATCCTCAAATACAGTGTGATGTTATTGTGGGCTTACCCTGATTGTTTATCAGCAGTGAGCTGCAGTGGCTGCCACAGTGTGCATCTTTCTTGAATAGTTTTTTTAAATCTTTAATAGGCACTCATGCATGAAGGAAATTAATTCTATAAAACCTCAGTTTTGGGACTGAAAATCTCTAGAATCTTTAGTCCCTCTTTTGGTCACTCTAAGCCTTTATTATCTGCTGTAAATTTTTGTTTTGTTTTGTTTTTTAATAAATAGACACTTCTCTCTGACAGCTGCCAACCTCCTTAGTAAACCATGTAACCATGTTACTATGACTTCTGCAGTAACCTTTGTGGAACACTTAAATAGGTTCTCATTATGAAGAGCAGTTGACAGTATCACATTCGGTGTGGCAAAGAGGTACAGAAAATACAGAATATGGAGTGATGAATGAGCTGTGTTCTTATAATCAGTATCGAAGAGCAAAGTGTTTCTAAATGTATGTTTTTCTTTCTTTAGAATATTGATCTGCGAGTAAAATGGCCAAATGATATTTACTACAGTGATCTTATGAAGCTTGGTGGAGTTCTGGTAAATTCTACGCTTATTGAAACAACATTTCATATACTTATTGGTAAATGTCTAGTTTCAAGCTTTTCTATACTGTTTTTTCTGAAGAAATTTGTTATTAATGTCTTTATGAGTTCAAATGATAAGGACAAGAACAAATAATGACAGCAGGCATAAGGAAATAAAGCACAATATTAAATCAAAAGAAAGCACAAAAAGTAAATGTTTTCATTCTTCTTAATAATTCCATATGCTTGACAAGGAAAACGTAAATGCAAGCATCTGGGCTGATGCAGTGGAGTTCAAAGAAAGAGCATTATAGGAGGGAGGGAAAATGTCTCCTTGATGTATTGCAAAACTAGTAGAATATACTGAAAAATGTATCAATTTTTTTTCAATTTTTTTTTTTTTGGCAAGATGACAGATAGTTAAGTAAAGAACTTGCATTTTAAATCAGGAGAGAAAGAGCTACGTACACATAGTAATGCATTTGTCCTTTCATCCTTTTAAAATTTATTCATAACTTGTTCTATTGATACCTTTCTAGAAACTGGAAAATTGCTAGTGAAGCAGCAGTGAAGTAATGATTTGATTAACTAATCACTTTCTTTAGTTCTCTCAAAAAGTAAAATTTGCAAAGCAGTTGGGAAGGCTGAGTCAGGGAGCAAAGAGTAACAATCTGTTTGTTCACTGTGAAGACACACAGTCTAGCTGGAAAGCTGGTTCCAAAAAGGTAGCACAGCCAATCTTAAAAAGACTTTACATCTACTTTCCAGCAAGTCCCAGTGCCATAACAGGGGAAGACATTTAGGTGCACAAATGAGTATTGAGATGTTTTTATCATTTCAAGTCTGATAATCATCCTGCTATTTGTTAAGGAAAGTTTTTCCCCTAACCAGCAGCAGCACAGATCTGTCAGACATGCTTAGAAACCTGCCAGCAGAGCTCTAGGTTCTGGTTCCAAAAGTAATTACCTCTGCTACGTCTAAAAAAAATAAAGTTCCTTAGCAAGTCTAAAAGGTTAAAGAAGATGACAATATTTGGTTTATATTTCAATGTAGCACAATAGATAAGTACAGTATCTTGCAAAGAGAATGTGGACATGATACTGTTTCTGTCAAGGTGCTGTAAATTTTAAAGCACAAACAAGCAAAACAGTTGAAGTAGTCATCACCTCCTTCTGTGAAACATGTCCAGCCATTAAATTTTCTGTTCAATTGTTATGTCCTCATTTTGTAAATAATCTAGATGTACAGAATGGAAGTTGTGCTGAGACACTTAAAAAGTCTCTCTGTGCCCCATCAGCCATTTACTCCTTCCATATGTTTTTCCAGAGCCTGTTCTGGTTAACACAAGAAAAGCAAAAATGGCTCCAAAAATAGTTCATCTTATCATATATCTCTTTGCACATTACATATTTGCTTTGGACCTTGTGTTTCTTACCCTAAACACCAAAACATTCAGAATCGAATGGAAACTTTCTGTATGCATTCTCTCTGGTGTCCATAGGAGTCATCTTGATGGTGAAAGGTCTGAGGTGTAGGCAAAGATCATAGAATCATAAAATACCAGGTTGGAAGGGACCTCAAGGATCACCTGACCAAACCTTTCTTGGGAAAAGCTCTATCTAGACAAAAGCACGGTCTAAACAAGATGGCCCAGCACCCCGCCCAGCTGCATCTTAAAAGTGTCCAATGTTGGGTAATCCAACACTTCCCTGGGGAGGTTATTCCAATGGCTGATTGTTCTCATTGTGAAAAATTTTCCTTTAGAGTCCAATCAGAATCTACCCGGGAGTAACTTGCACCCACTACCCCTTGTCTTTTCCGTGTGACTCCTTGTAAAAAGGGAGTCTCCATCTTCTTTGTAGCCACCCTTTAAGTACTGGAACGTGGTGATGAGGACTCAACTAAGCCTTCTTTTCTCAAGGCTGAACAAACCCAGTTCTCTCAGCCTTCCCTCATATGGCAGGCTTCCCAGTCCTTTGGTCATCCTGGTGGCCCCGCCGGGTGCCCCTCCTCTGGACCCTCTCCAGCCTGTCCACGTCTTTCTTGTATAGCGGGGACCAAAATTGAACACAGTATTCCAGGTGTGGCCTGACAAGCGCTGAGTAGAGTGGGATAACGACTATCTCTGCTGGTGATGCCCTTGTTGATGCAACCCAGCATCCTGTTAGCTTACTTTGCCACTGCAGCACACTGTTCGCTCACATTGAGCTTGTTGTCGACCAGGATCCCCAGGTCCTTTTCAACAGAGCTGCTTTTTCCAGCCAGGTGGATCCCAGTCTGTGCTGCACTCCTGGATTATGTTTTCCCAGGTGCAAGACCTTACGCTTGTCCTTATTGAACTTCATAAGGTTCTTGTTAGCCCACTCTTCCAGCCTATCCAGGTCTTCCTGCAGGGTGGCTCTCCCTTCCAAAGTGTCCACTTCCCCACTCACTTTAGTATCACCCACAAACTTTACCAGGGTGCACTTGATCCCATCATCCAGATCACTTAAGATATTAAACAGCGTGGGGCCCAATATCGATCCCTGGAGAACCCCACTTTTGACAGGTTGCCAGTTTGAAAGAGAGGTATTTGCCACCACCCTCTGGGTGCAGCCTGTCAGCCAGTTCCCCATCACCACACGGACCATTTGTCTAGACCATAACACATCAATCAAAAATGTACCTTTTCATCAACTTTCCTTCACCTGGAAGCCTCTAAGATTGAAACTTACCTGCCACATACTAGTCCAAGGATCTTTTCCATCATTTCAGTGATGTATGCCACTGAGATTAGTAGGGGTGACTTATGACATCTAACTTCTTGTATTAGTCATAGCAGTGAGATCAAACTTCCACAACAGGAAAGGTTAGCCAGATGCATCATCCCCTTTCTACAGTCATGCAGATTCTTTTCCTAGACCTCACTGTTTACATGGCCCTCATGAAGAGTATCCCATAGATGAGGGTAGCGATAAAAATCGAAGATCTTCTACATGGCTTCACTGCTCTGAGAAGTACCTCAGAAGAATAAGGCGAAACACAAACCTGCCTTTTCACCTGTACTGTGTGCTCAAGGCCTCACAGATGATGTGGTTCATGTTTGTATTTTTATTTTACGATTTTTCAAAAATGTTGGGGTTTTTAAGAACTGAATTGTTATGGGACTTTTGAAAGAAGACTTCTGCGGAAGAATATACTTCACTGATGTAGGGGCCAGACTCAGAACACATGTAGGCAGCCAAACACAAATGGAATGCAAGGGACAGCCAACGTGCTTGACCTGCAAAAGCTCTGTCTGCCTCTGTGTGCAGCTAAGGCATGTCCGAGCAGTGCGCAGATGCTGAAGGCAGGGCTCACTCTAGAACCGGAAGATGTGTTAGCCACATCAGCACACTGCAAGATTGGTGCTAAATGTTTATTTTTCACTCTTCTCACATGGGCGATGCAGAGATGCCCTAAGAGTCCTGAGCACCTAATATTTTTCAAATTAGCTGGCTACATTTTTGCCACTGCGTTTATCCCCTGATGCTTCTGCCTCAGCTGAGCTCATCATCTCAGTATGTCTCTCGTGTCTCTTTCAATTTTTGGATTGCTAAGTAGTGATCTCCATACATACAAGCCTGGGTGCCCTGAGCGTGCAAGATGGACTCGAAGGCACCCCACAGTACCAATCACAGCTTAAAGACCACAGTCACTCTCTCTTCGCTTGTACTGTATTTGAGTGTAAACAGCTGAGTTGGAATCTGTTGGCATGTCACATTATCCTTCCCAGTTCATTTTCCTTTGTCTCTTTCTGAAAATACATTTTGTCCTCATTTCCATAGGATCGATGTATTGGTACTTGTGTCACTGTGGCGCTTTTTTGCATGCATTCTCTGACTAGTTAAAAGTCAAAAACCCTTTCCTCTGCAGAGATCCTTCTCCTCATAGTTAATACGAATTATTTCCATACATGAATAGTCTCATTAATAGCAAATTTACAAAACAGTGCATCTGGACTTTCTTGCAGATGGAGGTGTATCATGTCTAAACCTGACTGACAGACTGGGGTTTTATCCCACATGTCTGAGGAAAGAAAAAACCAAATTATTAGGCGAAAAAAATAAACAGGTAATACAATATATTTCTTTACATCCCTCAAAGCCTGTTTCAGCAGACTGCAAAAAAGGCCCCGAGAGCCATGTTTAAATGAGAAAGGCGTTCTGCCAACATTATTCTAGCTGGAGAAATCTCAGTGAGAGACTTGAGGCTTCTAAAGGATATGCTGTGGGAAGATAGATTAAGCAAACTGGAGCCTTACACGGCAAAGTTAGATTTTCTGGGCTTTTCAGAGCAAGCCAAACAAGGCTTATCAGCTGAGTAAAAAGGTTTAATTTTCAGAAAATGCAATCAGCTAACTGTAGTAAACAGAAAGGTCTTTTAATTAAATTTTAGACTAAAAGATAAAACTCCATCTTAGAGTATGATCAATGATTTGCTCTCAATTAGCTGATGACCTGTCAGCTTCCAGGGAGTAAAAGAATTTCTCACTTAAATGTTACTGTAACCAACTTGCAAGTCATCACTTACCATCTTCCTAACCCTCGTTGATAGGACGGTGTGTTGTTGAAAGGACTGCACTGGATTTGCTTCTGCAATTTTGAGGAGGCTTTTTAAGGACGAGAAACAAATAAAATCGGGCTGAGATTTGGAATTACACAAGTAGGAAGATTTAAAGGTGTAAGAGACTGAAGAAAAACAGTTACTGGAAACATCCTTAGAGATATTTGTATCAAGTAGTTTGAATAAAGTACTGACTTTGGTGGTAACAAAGTGTTGGTATTTATAGATCCGTCCTCTTTCGGTTTGTCTTCTTCAGGCTTTGGATTTAATGTGAGTAACAGCAACCCCACCATATGTATCAATGATCTCATCACAAAATTTAATAAGGAAGAGGGGACAAAGCTGAAGGCTTTAACTGCAGACTGTCTTATTGCAAGAACTGTAACTGTGCTGGAGAGGCTCATAGATATTTTCCAGGAGAAGGGGCCCAACGGAGTTCTTCCCCATTACTACAAGTACTGGGTACACAGGTAAGTATGATGTTCTTCTCAAACTTTCTTTTCAGAAAGTTGAAAAGAACTCCTAGATATTTCATCTTTTTCTACTTTTTCTATTAGTTCTACTATTTACTAGCCTTTAAAACTAGTTACTTAATTAAAATATACTCCCAAGTAGGATGTATGTTTTTAAGGGAGACTAAAAATAGCACATAGTAAAATCAGTGGGCTAGCAGGAGCTAAAGAATGCTTCTAGGTATTTTACATCTCAAAACAAAGGGAATTGGGAGTGATTTATTTAGCTAGTAATGAAGCTGCTGTACTCATGTCTTCTAAAAAAACCAGACTGTTTGGATTAACTGTTAATTCCACAGAAATAAAGTAAAGCAGGTAGAAAATGCTGCTAAAAATCATGCTGTATAAGGAACCAGTGAGGTGAGAAACAAAAATATTCTGCTAGACAGTAGTCCTCTAAGCGATTTTTTTAATTATTTGTACAATCTCCACAAACTGATTCCTAACCGTCTGGTTGTCTTTGTTTGCAGCGGTAAGCAAGTCCGTCTCCACAGTGAGGATGGCCCAATTGCATGGATAGTCGGGATAGATGACTACGGATTCCTTCAAGTTCATGAAGAGGGCAAAGGTGTGGAGTCTGTGCACCCAGATGGCAACTCTTTTGACATGCTGAGAAACCTGATAGTCCCAAAGCATTCATAGACCTCCGAGTTCACAGCGCGAAGGGAGGCTCTTTAATGTTTGCCACCAAGCAGCTAAACTTGCTTAAAGGTGGAAAGGGTAGCTGATAGCTTAATTTTTTTTTTTCTGCTGATTTTTTGATATCTTTGCTCTTTGACATGGATAATTTCAACAATTGTTAAGAAAAGTTAATTATCTGATTGCTAAAGGCCTTTATTCTTTCATATCAACTTAAAAACGCATCTATATTGCCATTCTTTGTAAGCGTCTATTCTTTAAAAGGAGCCTGATTGCAAAGGGATACTTTGCAATGAAGAGAACTTTCTCTTCATTTACACACTGTATTTGAGAAACTGAAGTGGCTACATATTTCCTTTTTGTGTCTCTGCATTTTTACTGTACTTTAGCACAATGCTGTACAATATTTACATTTTTACATGTTTTTTTAAACTAAATTCTGGTTTGTGTGCTGTCTGCGGTGGAACCAGCTGGAAGAGCTTATCGTACATTTCTGAGTTACTGGGATTACCACTGTGTTGAAATTCAGGTCTAAGTGTAGACCCTTGCTGATTTGGTTCTTCTCCATGTGTGCCTGTACAACAGTTTACCATGCTGTGCTTTGGTCTCAGGTCTGCAGGTCTCTCGTGGCTGCCTTGAGTTTTTGGAGAGTTTTCCATCAGCAGTTAAGAGCTGTGGTTGGTTATCCAAATCGTTTGCACTCTTCTTAATCGTTTGCTCTTCTTAGTCAATGGGATCTGAGTAAATCACCTCATATCTCATTTGAATCATTGTAATCCAAGGGGCTTTAGACCCAGTAAGAACAGCCCACTGGAGTAGTGGATCACCTAGTTGCGATCTACTTATCCAGGTTATTGTAGAATCCCATGTCAGGAGACGGAAGTCCTAAGTAGTTTAGAATTGAAGAGTAATTCTATTGTAATAGCAATGAAGTTAAGCGAATAAATATGAGAAGATTCCCAGCTCTTAAAATCCATGCCGTAAACAACTACTACAGTGAAAAAGAGAAAACACGCATTTAACCTGTGTCCAAATTCTCTTCCATTGTTTCTGTCGTCACCCTGTTTCCCAAGGCAGGGCATCTGGTTTGGCTGCTAATCATTAAAAGCGAGAGGTTTAACACCTGCTGACCTGAAAGTCGGCTTTGGGGGCTGGCCGCACAGTTCCGGGTTAGGTGTAACAGCTTGGTGATGACTGGAAAGCCCCGTGAAGCAGGCATGTGGGAGCTTCCGTGCGAGGGCAGCTTGTCGGGTTTTTCTCCTGGGCAAGGCGAATTTGCAGCAGGAGGCTTGGCCACCACAGCACTTCAAACAGTCCTCTGCAAATGAAAAGTTTGTCATAGGTGTGATGTGGCCGGCTTCATTTCCTCAAGTAGGCAGCACTGCTTATTACCTTACCTTGTCCCTACTGAAGGTGGATCAGCCAAATTGGTTTCCACAAAGGACTTCTGTCTAGCAGCCAGAAATGGGTTTTTTAGGTTAAAGTTCACCTCATAAACAATCTGAACATGTTGGTGGATTGTTACAGTTACAAAGCCAAGAAGTCTTAAAACAAGGAAACTAGTCTGTAATGGTAATTTAGAGTAATCCTCACATATTAGGGTTTAGGTGGTTTGGCAGCAAGTGCTAGAAATTAAGTTGTCCCTATTACATTTAGGATTTTATGCTCCATATCACAGTAGATTTGTCTGTGTGCCTGGTTGTCTGTACCCTGCTGTTTTGTTTTCCCCCATGACCTGCATCGACTGCACACCAATATTTCATAGAACTGTACAGAGGAGTGCAGACAGCTGTTAATTGGCATAGTTAAAATGATACACATGAACACCAGTTTTCGCTTTTTCCCACCAGATGCTTTCAAAACTGCTTTGGGCTGCTAATTTTTGGCAGCTACTTTTATTTCAGAATCAAATATTGATGCATACTATAATCAAATGAAACTTGAGTTGGAGTTAATAAAGTTTAAATAAAAAGAAGCAGCCATTTATGTATACTTACAGAAAAAAAAGCGTGTACATGTGCATATGCACACTCACATCTTCCTTGTGCATCTTCTTCTCTACCTTTTCCTTCAAGCAGCTTATGAGCGACGCAGGCTGCTGCAGGTCAGCTGTGGGAAGCATGGTGCTGGTACTGTTTTTCCACCCACAAAGTTTTACAAAACTTCAGATCTGAACCTCAATCTGATATTTGTAGCTAAAACACTGTCTCTGTTTTGGTACTGTAGGGTGTGCCTGTAGGAAGCACCTTTGATTTTGTTCTTATTCCAGATAGACTGTCGGGTGCCTGTAGAGATTTCTTTATATGACCGGGTCATGCATCAGGTTTTAGCTTGAATTGCTTCCTTAAAACATGCTCTCTCTTCGCTAGGGACAAGCACTGTGAAAGAATGATGGGGGGAATGATAAAACAGGTTCCTGTGTGAAGGGCAGAATGGACCTGCAAACCTTCGCTCAGCTACACTACCACAGTGTCTGGGCAGCCAGCATATGGGGGTTTTAATAGTAAAATGCTGCAATATTTCCTGGTTGCCGTTGTTCTTTTGGATTTCTTCATAATCTTCATAATGAAAAGCTTGTTCTTCTCTCGCTCTGGGTTGTAAGGTTATTCTGAAAATGTTTGCCGTGGAAAGAAACTTTGTCTTGAACTTCTTTTCTGCAAATGAGAACTAACCAAGTGTGGCTGTGTCGCAGCATGGGTGGGTACTGTGGGAACTTTGCTTCTATTTTTTAGTTGCCTATTCTGTGTGTACGAAACTCCCTGTTGTCTTGAGGAAATGGCCTTGAGTTGGATGAAGCGTTTGTTAGAGACCTGACCTTTCCTTTAGAAGAACTTAAGAACTTCACAAAGAAAATGTCCGTTGTCTGGCGAGCAGCTGCACAAGGTCCTTCCGACTGGCAGCTGCTCCTGGGGAGAAGCCAGTGGACCTGCCTGCACCACGCTCACCTTCGGGTAGATGGGGAGTGCAGCCAGCGATCTTACTCTCTTTATGCCACACTTGGCACACCCAGAAAGCCACAATGTTTTCATATGGAAATCGTGGTTACTGTTGTTCTTTACGTAGGACGTACAAATGTGGTGTAGAGTGTCTCTGGTCATAGGTATGGAGAGGATCAGACAACTCCAGATCCAGAAGTAATGCACTGAAAATGTTTGATTTCATTCAACTGTCTAGATTAGTAAAACACCTCTTTCATTGTGATGCTGATGTCATATCTTAAACTATTTTCTTGATGAAGTGCTTTCAAAAAACATTTATTATGGAGTTCATATTTCTGTGACTTCATTTTTTTCCTCCTGGACTCTGTTACAACATTTCTCATTACACATTGTGAAAATATTTGTAGAGATTGTTCATTGATAGGAAAACTTCTGCCGAGCAAGCGGGGTGCGTTGGCACGTGTCTGCGTTCAGAAAGAGTAAGCAAGCGGGTTGGGTCCCGCTCTTTCCAACGAGTTGACAAAGTCATAATGTCCTTAAAGTTTAAGAGCTCAAGCACTACATCTCACTTCTAGTAAAAGGTTTTGTAAGACTTCAGAGCATTTTTTAAAATATCTCCCAAGAAATACCATCTACTTCAAGGGCTATTACCTAGAAATAATATTAAAGCATTTCATTCTTTATGCTGCTACGTCATTGTACAACTATTTTTTATTTCTTTGCTTTTTCTGAGTCAGCTGCAAGACATCAGCTGTCTAAAAAATTACTCTCTGCAACTCCTTTGGAATATACAGTAGCTGTGTAAATAAAAAATGGAAGTACAGCTTAATATCTGTCATGAAAAAGATTTGTGCTGCAAAGAGCCGATTCCTGGGGGTGACAGGTTTGATAAAAGCATTTGCATGCATACCTTACTGCTGTGATGCACCGCACTCGTCAGACACCAAAGAAATTAAATCTGGACTGAGGAAAGAACAGAGGTCAGAAACTGATGGCGTGCCGCAGACTGCGGTCATGTCACACACAGCTGAGAAAAAAGAACTGCAGGGAAGAATTGTAAACCCGTGCTGTGCTTGAGTATCCTGCATTAGCACATTTCATTAGCGATTCTGTGTTATTTTCAGTTCTGCAAGAATCTTCCTTCAAAATGCAACGTGGCTAAAATACAATAAATAAATAAATAAATAAAATCCTTGTATTTTGTAGCACATTAGCTGTCAAATATAGTACATATTACAATTGAAATAAATTTTCAAATATGCAACATTATTCTTTGTGAAACCCTGTGGTTTTTTAGTAAAAAAGAAAAACAGCTCACTTTTCCTTTGGCTACAGGATTTTATTAACGTTTTATCAGTTTTGTTTTACATAATAAATAAGCAAAAATGCTTAACATTTTTAGGTAATACATATATAGATCTGAGCATTAATAGGTTGTTTGTTTTGCGTGCTTTTTCACCTACATTTGCCAAATAGCTTTTATCTGCGTCATATAAAAAAAAGCAAAATCTAATGTTCAGGAAAAAAATGGAATAATAAAATTTTCTCTGTGTTGTTTTTGAAGTATTGACTAAAATGTTGAAAAAATACTTGGTGTCCTGTTTTGTGATTTTTAGAGAAATACTGGTTGGTGTGCTGGCAGGTTTCCCATTCATTTGCACTTGCTCTCAGTGATACATTCTTCACTTTTACATCTGTTGCCCGCTGTCCTTAATTTCATTAAATTCCTTTAATTCCCTTTTTCCAATTACAGGACTACCACAACATGGAGAGAAGTGTCTTCCCTTATCGCCTTACTTACTTTGCGCTGTTTCTATTAGTAGGATAAAAACTTTGAGACCTCAACATGGGATTAACGTTTCCAACTTCACATTTTGGTGAAATACTCCCTCTCTTGCTCTCTTTCTCTCTCTCCTCCTCCATACTGTTTACTTGCTAGATCTGAACTAAGAGTTAAAATCTTATCAAGTCGCATGACAAAGGTGTCTGTAGTGGCTCACACAAGTACAGTAGAGAGAAATTAGGTTATTTTTCATAATATATTCCAATTCACACTCCACTTCT